CTGAGACTTGACTTGAGATCCTGGAAGACCTGCTCTTAGAGGGGTCCCCATTGGAAGGGGGATTCTTCTGGACCTTTTAGTAGTTCATACAGTGTTCTGGCCTTCTCAGCAAAGCTTGGGATCCAAATCCTGTAGAATCCAGCTGCTCCCAGGAACTTGCACAGTTGTGGGCTGAAGCAGCCCAGATACTACCTGTTTGCATTTGTGCTCAAGAGCACGGTGACCTTCAGTCAGAATGAATCCTAAGAATTGTACCTGGGTATGGCAGATTTGGGCTTTCTTCATTGAGACCTTGTACCTGGCTTGGGATAGAAGCTAGAGCAGGTCTCGCGTTCCCTTACAGCAATTTTCTCGGGTTGCTCCAGCAAGCAGGAGGTCATCCACATATTGGATTTTCCACACCTGGAAAATTTTTTAAGTCAATAGCAAGTGCTTCCCCTGGGGCAAGTATTTGCCATTCTTCCTCTCTGGGCATTGTTACAATCAGGATTTTGGCAGGGCTCACAGTCAGTGCCACAGAGCCTGATGAGTCAAAGGTGATTTGTGTTCTGAGTTTAGTCAATAGGTCTCTTCCCAGCAATGGGACTGGACATTTAGGCAGGTACAGGAACTCATGGGTAACCAGGGCCACCCTCCCCCAGCTGGCAGCTTCTTGCCTATAAAAGGGCTGACTTTTGGTGTTTCCAGTGGCCCCTAGGATGGGTGGCTTTTTGGCCTGGCAAGGGGGCCAGGGGCTGGGTGATGATGGAGTGTTCAGCTCCAGTATCTACCATGTATGCCCTTGGCTGCCCTCTCCCCCATTTTAACATTGACCAGGGCATCCTGGGGCCCAGGATTATGGATCCCAGTCAGTCCTATTCTGATTCCATCATGGCCAGGAAGTCCCTTGGAGGTTCTGGGTGGAAGGTCTTGAGGGCTCCTGGTGGATTTTTGGTTATTCTCCCTTGGTTTGGCTTCCACTTGGGGCATTAACCTTTTCAGTATCCATCTTCTTTACAGTATGCACATTGAGTTGGCCTGAGTCCAGGGCGGCTGGATTTTGGCTCCCCTCTGGGACCGGGTGGAGCATCCGGTAGTCTAATGGCAGCAGCCAGCAGGGATGCCTTTTGCTTCATTTGCCAATCTGCTTCCTTCCTTTCCTCTCGGTCTCAGTTCATGAAGACTTGATTAGCAGCCTCCAGAAGCTGGGTGGCGTTCATTCCAGCAAAGCCTTTCTGCTTTTGGAGTTTTCCACGGATGTCAGGGCGATTGGGTGACAGAGGCGGCATTAACCATTTGCTGGCTTTTGGAGCTCTCCAGATCAAATCGAGTACAGATCCCATATGCCTCGTAGAGACTCATAAAACTGCTCCAGTGGTTCATCTGTCTTTTGAATTATTTCTGTCGTTTTTGCGGTGTTAGAAGGTTTCTTTGCATTGGCTTTCATTTCCTGCAGGAGTGCTTTTTGATATCTGCTGACATGGGTGCAGCCACCCTCAGTATTGAAATCCTAGGCAGGCTTTTCTTTTGGAAAAGCAGTTCTGACTCAAGCCTCAGGGTCCATCACATTGTTGGGGCATGCTCTTGTAACCATTTCTTTGCTGCCACAAGGACTCTGTGGTGCTCCTCTGTGTTAAGTAGGGTGAGGAGTAGTTGCTAGCAGTCATCCCAGGTGGGCTGGTGGGTTTGAAGTATAGATTCCACGAGATCTATCGTTGCCTGGGGCTGTTCCGAGTAGGAGGGAGTGTGGTGTTTCCAGTTAAGTAGATGAGTAGTGGTGAAGGGCTGGTAGTAGAGAGTCACTCTGCCTTCTGTAATAGCCCCATCTGCACCTATCTGGGGGTCCTTAATTTCCCAGAAGGGCATCTGAAGAGTGAGATTGCCCCAGGTCACAACAGCTCGACAGGTGACAATGGTTGAGGTGAGGTCTAGGCGCCAGATTCAGGACCGCTGACGGCTTCCCCCCTGAGTTGGTGCTGGCTCATCAGGTTGTTCTTCAGGCCCTGGAGAAACAGATGGTGGCAGAGTCTCAATTGCCAGTTCGGTAGCCAAGATATATAGGGGTGGAGTTATTAATGGGTCCTCTTGGGGCGGGGGACCCTGCAGGATTGGTGCAATGGGTTTCTTTTGGTTAGGGTCTAGCTTTGGGTGCAGGACACAGGCAGCCAAAATAGTGCATTGGTTTTTTCCCTTCATATAGATGCACACCCATGGCAGAGTGACTTGGGCTATCTGTAGCAAGGAGTCAGCATAGGGAAACTGATTGGAGTGGCCTGGGGTGCCAGTAACAACGTTACATATAGCCCACATGGTAGGGAGGTGTAAAGTTTCCGGTGGCCGTCCTACTTTGAAAGAGGGCCATTTAACCTCACAAAGAGCTCTCAATTTCTTCAGTTTCATTTTCATCCCATAGTCACCAGAGAAGCCCTTTTTGAAATTAGCTAACATAAAATCCGGCACAGTGGATTTGGATGACTTGGATTAGAGTTCTCCCATGGAGGCACTGAGAGGCATGGCTTGAATATCTCTGATCTCTCCAGATATCAAAAGCCTGCATCTCCCAGAGGGCTCAGTGGCTAGAGGAAGCTTTTGAGTAGATGATAAATGCTGCCAGGCAGTGCTCCATTGATGCAATTTTGAGTCAAAAGTCAAATTTAAATGATTTAATTTGAACATGGCTAGGTAGAATAATTTGGCAGCATGTGTAGTGAGTGGGCCCCAGTTCCCTCCTTTTATTGTTTTACATAAATTGTGAGAGTTCGTTTTATATATTGATGTATATTTTACAAACAAACAAAAACTGTTCAACAAATTTTCCCAAATAGAACAAAACATTCTTACTGATAACAGTTTAAGATTTTAGTCATTTAGGGACCAGCAGTTAGTGTAATGGCTATGTCGCTGGACTCCCTTGTAGTCGACCACAGTTCATGTCCCGGACCCGGTGGCTTAAAACTCACACTGGGTGTGTGTGTGCACGTGTGCCCAAGATCCTGAGGAGAATGGAGGAGAAGGGATTGCGGCGTGACCATCCCCCCCTGGGGGGTGATTTCTTACTTTCTGTCTGTATGTCTCTGTCTGTCTGGCGAGCGCATGCGCCCTATAGCAAAAACCTCTCAAAAAATATAAAAAAGATTTTAGTCATTTGAAATAACCTTTAGAAGGCAGAAACAGAAACCCCAAAGCAACTGTCCAGGGACAGAAAGTCCTGAGCACCCTAGGGGTGAGAAAGGGTTAACTCGGTGTCTGTCAGCACTAAACGGAGTTGTTAGGTCATCATCAAGGCTACAAGGTCATAAGAGTTGCCAAGCTGCTATGGGGACTGAATTACAAGATCACCACAGGCTGTACATTTCCTTCAACACCTCCATTCTCCTCTCGGGATCTTGGGCACGCAGGCACACGCGCCCGGCGTGAGTTTAAGCCACAGGGTCCGAGACTCGAACCGTGGTTGACTACGTGGGAGTCCAGTGACATAGCCATTATGCTAACTGCTGGTCCCCTTCAACACTTCTTGACAATCCACATTAGCATTTTCAAAGGCCAGTTGCTTCAACAATGCCTCAGCTACATCTATATTCTCTACCTGCCTTTGCAAAGATTTTTGTAACCTATCTATAAATGCATTGCACTAGGTAGAAATTTCTGCCCCAACTTGCGGGGGCAAAATTGATGGCCTGACATTCATTACCCTGCCTATCCACCTCTTCAGGGAAAGTCCTCCCATCAGCCTCTGTGTCCCCTGTCCTGTGAACGGTGTCACAACAGACAAAGGGTGAATGCTCCCCCTCCCCCCCAAGGACCAATCAGGCGTCTGTCCACCCATGTCCCTCATGGGATTTGTGCAGTTCCTTGGTAATAAGCAATTGGATATAGAAACCCCACCAGATTGAATGCATAGAGAGGGACTGGGTTGCACAGTGCCAGTTTTGCTATTTATCCTTCATGGAACTTCCATGGAAACAGACCCAATTACGCTCCGTAGCAAGAAGCCATGGAGCCTCAAACACATTCGCTTATCACAAATACTCACATTCATTCAAAGGTTATACATTCCCTCCCTATATCAGCCAGATGAGCCCTAACTGCTGGTCCTGCGACTAAAGGAGAGTGATCAGGTCTCCTCTTCTACTCAATCCGAATTGTTCTGTCTGACTAGAGCTCTACAGATCCCAGGGGGCTTACCAGATTATCAGAGTTGACCTCAGTTGATGCATCAGGATCCAGGAGTTGGTCTTTCTGTCCAATCAGAGTCCAATGATCAAGGAATCCTTGGCCTCAGGGTGGGCAACCCAGCCAAGGGATCCTATGAAACAAGACAGGGGCATGCCTATCTCTCCACACTGTAGTGCCTGTCCCAGAGGCGGGGAATCCTAGGATTGGTGGCTGAAAGGGCCAGCCTGATTCTGCTTCGCAGCCAACACACCAAAATGTTGCAGGAAACCAGACACCGGGGAACAGAAAGCAGCACTCAGAGAGATTAGGAGAACTGTTTATTACTCCAGTGGTCACGGAGGAGTTAATCCTCTGAATCTCTGGTCCTGACTGAGAATTAGACACAGTCTTTTATGGGTGAATTTGGGGAGGGGTGGTCTCAGCATGCTTGGAGTGTCTTATCAGGGAAAGGACTCTGTGTCTGCCCTGATACAGAGCTGGCAGAGAAGTAGGGAATCCAACCTGCTCAAGACCCCCAACAGTTCAGGGGAGGGGCAGTCAGCTTGAAGGGGAACAGAAAGCCCAGGCAGCTATCAGCCCTGGATTGCTTCAAGGTTGCTCACAAGTTCCGGGTTGCCCCATATCAAATGGACTTGACTCTTAGGAATGAGCCTTTCTAGTGTCATGGGACTTGACTCCTAGGAATGAGTCTTCCTAGCAACGTGAGACCTAACTATTAGGGATGAGCCTTCCTAGCACCTTGGGACCTGTCAATTTTGTGGCTTACACGTGCATTCAGAGGAATGATTTTGGAAAACAGGGGACTGTGGACAAAAGTCTGACTGCTTTTTTCTGTTTTTCCAAAGTCCTTTCCAGAGGGCCTGGGGGAGCCACAACCACAGATGCCGACAGACCTTTTTCACCCATTAGCAACGGGATTCTTCCTACATCCTGCCCTTGGCATACTATTGGAGTATCTTCGTGATGTATATTAAGCCTCCTTATCTCTGTTAAAGTACATTCCTTTCTGATCTCAGCAACCTTCCTTTTCCAATCACCACCCTAAAAGCTGTAAAACCCACCTATAACCTACAAGCCCCCACTTCCACGTGTCACACCTTTTTGGGCCAGACCAATGGAAAAACTTTTCACTAAATTCCAAACTCTATGTCTTGCTCTCAAAATCAAATAAAAGGAAACCTTGTACCCCAAGAGAAACACATGTTTTGCCTTCTGTCTGGCCCTAGGACACTCATATTCTGCTTGGATATAAGCCACATTAATTATTAATTTTTTTAGAGTTAGTTATTTTCTGTCGACACAGCTCATTGACAAACATACTGGTGCTCAAAGGAGCTTGTAGGAAGTGAGTCCTCTAAAAGGTGTGCTGCTATGGGAAGAAAAAATTGAGCTGCAGGGCATGAAAAAATACAAAACTCAACATTTCTAATAGGAAATTCACCCACAAACCTGAAAGGCATATGGGTAGGCAGCTACCAGAGAAGGCCAACTGCCTTGGGTATGAGGTTAGGTATTGACACTTAACCTGGAGGTTAGTAAAAAAAAATTTTTAGCAGGGGAAGATCTGTCATTAGTATCTGGTTTCTTTGTTTTCGTTTCTTGCTTTTTCTTTTCCTGTACTTGCATCTCTTTCACATGTCCGGGGTAATCTTTGAAGGAATTAACATCCATATCTAGATGTACTTCCTGGATGTTGACTTCATGTTCCATTCCAGTGGTGAATTTTCTGTGTGTATATCTGGGATATGAGTGGAAGATAACAACCTTCCTGTTGCCAAGAGCCAGGTAGGAAGGGTGAGGGATACTTTTATAACTCTCTTATATGTTCGTTTGTGTTGTACACATGTTTATGTAAGTTGTATGTTATGTTTGTGTGGCAAAGTCTTTAAGGAGTTCTATTAAATTTGCATGTAAATAAAGAGCACTGATAGTATTTAACCTAAATGCTTTCTAGTTCACATGACTTAAGTAAATAGGCCTGCTACAAATTTAAAAGTAAAATTGAAGATATCTTCATAGTTGTCAGCCTAAGTTTTACCAATCAAATGACAAAATTGTTTTGGTATTATTGATTTAGTAAAAATAGATTCCAGAGTTATCAGCAACATAAAGTAAATATCTAATATCCATATGGTATACATAGTTAACATGTTATAAAAATGTAATAGGGGAATAAGTAAACTGACTTTTTGGTATCTTTTGGTATTTAGATAGCCCAGGCATATAGTTTTTAAAGATAAGTCTGGTGATTGTAAGTATGATGTTATAAAATTTTCAGGTAATTTTAGATCTTAGAAGGAATTATGGCATATTAAATTAATATTGGTAAAATACTTGTCATCATGTAAGTTAAAATACTTTGGTTAATATAAAGTGTAAAGTTTTTCACTTGGCTTCTAACTCCTGTAGAGACAAAAAAAAAAAAGAATTTTTTGGGGGGAGGTCTATAGGATTATTTTGTTTTATAGAAAAATTGTTCAAAAATTGGATAGTTAAAAAATAATTGCTATATGACAAGTCAGATTGCTTACTTATAAAAAACCAAGGTTACTGGGACCAGCAGATGGTATGATGGTTAAGATGCTGGACTCCCACATGACTGACTATGGTTCGAATCCCAGACCTGGCAGCTTGCTCTCTTGCTCTCTCTGTCTCTCTGTCTCTCTCTGGTCAAATTAAAGTAAATAAATAAAAATATAAAGTTAAATAAAATTCTAAAAAAAAAAAAATGCTAGGAGGGGTTTAAAGCCAAAAATTATTTCAGCCCATCTTACCTAGAAGACTGATGACTTAGTATGGGATGGTAAAGGGATAGGATCACACAAATAGCTGACACCTTGGTTAGATTACATGCCATTGTGAACTGGGCCCATCTATGGGCATAGGCCAGAACAATTTTATGGTCTTGTTTAACAGTAATGGAAGGGTCTGGCCAGTTTGTTAGAACCATCTCTTATTTATTTATTTATTTATTCATTCATTCATTCATTCATTCATTCATTCATTCATTCTATGAGGGGAGGTTCCCAGAAAGGCTATTCAGAGGTCAATCTAACACAAAATGGAAAACAGTGAGAAAGAAATTTTTTGTAAATAAGTTGGTAAAGTATTTGTGCTAAAGTAAGATGACTAAAATAGATAGATATTTATCATTAGGGGGAAAAGGGACAAATACTAGGTCTAATGACGGGCTAAGACTGGAGTTTGAAGGCAAAACTTAGTTACAGAGACTTACAGTGAATTTTATGAAATAAATTATTATGATAAGTTTTATATGACAAGTTGGCTAAAATTGAGGGAAGCACTATATATATGTTCCTGAAAATTTAATGAAAGTTATTTTGGTTCTGTAGTTAAAGTCAAGTTGTTTTTTTTAAAGTATTGATCTGCTCTCAGTAAACTGCAAACATACTGCAGGAGATTTCTTTACAGCTTGCTAACTTGCTTAAGAAACATATTTTTATGCTTTATGTTTGTATTTAGTGAAATTTGATTACTTGACAAATAGAACTTTAAAAGGTTAAGTTTTTTAATTGTGTAACTTTTTATAATTATCAACTTACTTAATATACTCAGTGACTTATGATCCTGTTATATCCCAATATTGTATTGAGTTTTCTGACGTGTTCTTGACATGTTTCTTAAAGATAAAATTATAAATTAAACATTATTTTATACCTAAATGTTCATTTTTGGACTTTTCCAGCTAGGCCCCTGGAAGAACCTCAAAAGTTGTATCTTGTTTTGGTAAAGGCCGATCTGGCGTATCAGCTTATGTAAGGATCCCTGTCAACCGTAGCCTTCTTTAAATTTTTTTACATGTTATTGGTACCAGTATATTCAAATCATGAATTTATTAATTTAATGCTCTTGAAATGACACTCTCAGTCATAAATTACCTTAAATTGTTGTGTACGATAGAAGTTTTTTTGTTGTTGTTGTTATCTACCTCTATTGTAATGAACATCTATCAAGTCATTATAGGTATTTTTCATTTTTGCCATTCATACTTCTGAAAATTGCTCACCTCCTTACTGAACTTTGAGGCCTGACTCTTTCCTTCACCCAGGGACAATTGGCTATTGAGTCAGACATGTTCGTCCCCCAGGACTCCACTGCCTATAACAATGGACCTGACTCGAGGGATGAGCCTTCCTAGCATCTTGGGACCTGTCAATTTTGTGGCCTACACATGCATTCAGAGGAATGATTTTGGCAAACAGGGGGTACTGTGGACAGAAGTCTAACTGCTTTTTTCTATTTTTCCAAAGTCCTTTCCAGAGGGCCTAGGGGGAGTCAAGCCCACAGATGTTGACAGACCATTTTGGCCCTTTGGATTGTTCCTACATCCTGCCCTTGGCATAGTATTGGAGTATCTTGTGATGTATATTAAGCCTCCTTATCTCTGTTAAAGTACATTCCTTTCTGATCTCAGCAACCTGTAATCACCACCCTAAAAGATGTAAAACCCACCTTTAACTTACAAGCCCCCCCCCTTACTTTCTTAACTGTTGCACCACTGGGCCAGCCCCCAAAATGGTATTCTGTTTGAGACATCCTCTGCTCTAGGTTATGGCATCAAACTAAGGCGCTCTACAATACGAGGGTGAAGGGGCAAAACCAGAAGTGTGAAGAGAGATTTAAGGGATGGATTAGATTCTTTCACCAAATATTTACTAATTTCCAACTATGTGCAGGTTCTGTGTAGGGTCTAGTACTCAGTGCAGAACGAAACAAGCAGTTCCTGCTCTCATGAGCTAGTCTAGTGTCTATTAAGCAATGGTCTCATAAGTGAATCTTTGCAAATTAGATTAGTGCTATGAAGAACAAATAGGGACCAGCAGTTGGCGTAATGGCTATGTCACTAGACTCCCATGTAGTTGACCACGGTTCGCATCCCAGACCCAGTAGCTTAAACTCATGCCGGGCCAATGTGCATGTGTGCCCAAGATCCCGAGAGGAGAACGGAGGAGAAGGGATTGCGGCGTGACCATCCCCCCGGGGGGTGATTTCTCGCTTTCTGTCTCCCTGTCACTCTCTGTCTGTCTGGCGAGCACACGTGCCCTATAGCAAAACCTCTCCAAAAAGAGAAAAAAAAAAAAAAGAACAAATAAGGGGTGCTCTGTGAGACTATAGTAGGCTCCTAATTTAGAAATGGGAAAACCTCTCTGGGGAACTAGCAGTTAATACAAAAATTAAAATTAAGAATCTTCTAATGTTTAAATTATTTGTTAGGTTGGTGCAAAATCAATTGCAGTTTTGGACTGTGGTTTGTTTGTTTGTTTAGATTTTTGTCATTGGGTGTGCTCGTTGGAGAGAGACAGTGAGAGGGAAAGTGAGAAATCACCCCTCCGAGTGGATGGCCATGCTCCAATTCTTTGTCTTCCTGGGATTTTGGGCAAACACACACAGGTGCCCGGCATGATTTTCAAGCTACCAGGTCTGGGGCTTGAACCGTGGTCAGCTATGTGGGAGTCCAGTGCTGTAACCACTATGCCACATGCTGTTCCCTGAACTGTAAAAATTATTCTAAAAGATTTATTTATTTATTTAATTCCATTTGTTGTTATTATTTTTTAATTTGATCAGAGAGAGAGAGAGAAAGGGAAAGTGAGGAAGCAAGCTGCTAGGTCTAGGACTCTAACTGTAGTCAGTCATGTGGGAATCCGGTGCCTTTAAACACCATGCGCCTACTGGCCCCATGGACTGAATTTTAAATGATTAAAAAAATAGGCTCAAACACATCATTACTAATCAGTATAGGAACCATTATAATCAACACATTTTTTTGGGGGGGAGGTTTTTTGTGTAGGGTGTGCACTCACCAGAAAGACAGAGAGAGACAGAGAGACAAAAGGCGAGAAATCACCCCCTAGGGGGGATGGCCACGCCACAGTCCCTTCTCCTCCATTCTCTCAGGATGTTGGGCACGCATGCACGCACACGTGGCCAGAGTGAGTTTAAGCCACCAGGTCTGGGACTCAAACCGCGATAGACTACATGGGAATCCAGCGACATAGCCATTA